CCAAAAACAAATGGGATTTGCCACATTTCTGAAATTCGGTGCCACCCCTCACGCAGATCCGCGGGGTCAGGGTCCAAAAACACAGGGATTTGCTACATTTCTGAAATTCGGTGCCACCCCTCACGCAGATCCGCGGGGTCAGGGTCCAAAAACACATGGATTTGCCACATTTCTGAAATTCGGTGCCACCCCTCACGCAGATCCGCGGGGTCAGGGTCCAAAAACACATGGGATTTGCCACATTTCTGAAATTCGGTGCCACCCCTCACGCAGATCCGCGGGGTCAGGGTCCAAAAACACAGGGATTTGCCACATTTCTGAAATTCGGTGCCACCCCTCACGCACATCCATCGCAAGGCGTGGTAACCCACACTGCGAGTACTCCCTCGGCCCTTTAATCCCAAGGTGTGGTAACCAAGCTCGTAAACCATACACGTCTGACCAATCGCCCTGTGTGGTAACCCCTCTTGTGATCAGTTGGTTTTGCCGATTGCGAATCGGCCTCGCATGAAGTTCCGATACTGCTGCACGACAGCGCCAAAGCCTCATGACTTAGCTCTTCCATGGCCCATTCTCCGAGAGAGGGGGCCGGCGGCAGGGGGCGAAGCCCTTACGGATCCGAGGATCTAATTTTTTACCCGAATCTGGCAAGAAGCCCTGCGAAAATCCATGAGTATTGCATCTCCGGGCCTTCCTGGGGGTCCTTTGGAGCTCTTTGGGGCCGCCTTGGGGTTCTCCTGGGCCGTCCCAGGACCCTCTTGGGCCGTCTTGGCGGGCTTTGGGCCGTCTTGGGACCCCCTGGGGGGCCCTCCTGGGCCCAATGGTTTTTCCTGGAGTTCAGCCTCCTGGGCCCGCTGTCGGACCCGGGGACCATCAGGCGTGGATCCCCGGGGCGCAGAAAAGCCATCCCAGGGGAAGGGTTCGGGACCTGTCTGGGGCCGCGGGGTGGAAAAGTATCATATCGGGGGCTGTCTGGGGGGAGGGAGAGAGAGAGAGAGAGAAACAACAAAAAAAAAAAAACAACAAAAAAAGAGGGCGAGAGAGAGAGGGAGAGGGAGAGAGGGAGAGAAGGAGGGAGAGAAGGAGAGAGGGAGGGGAAGAGAAGGAGAGAGAGGGAGGGGGAGAGGAGAGAGAGAGAGAGAGAGCGAGAGGGAGAGAGGGAGAGAGGGAGAGGGAGAGAGGGACAGCGATAGAGGAAGAGAGGGAGGGGGAGAGGGCAAGCTAGGTACGCTCGCGTCATATCTGACGTCCTACCCCTCCCTCCCATCCCTTACCATGGCGCTGATTTTCTCTATCCGCGGACGCGTGTCGTAGCGGACCTGTGGCTCCGCGCGCGCGTGCGTAGTGGGTGGTGGTGCGCGTGCGTGCGTGCGTGTGTGTGCGTGGTTGTGGTGTGGTGGTGGTGGTGGTGGTGGTGGTGTGTTGGTGGTGGTGGTGGTGGTGGTGGTGGTGGTTCGGCGCGGTGGGGGCGGGCGGATGGGCGCGCGAGAAAGAGGCCCGCGCTGGGGCGAGAACGCCATCCTGAACGACGGAGGCCAAACACCGATCCGAAAATGAGGCCCACGCTGCAGCGGGAGCACGATTCGGAACGATTCGGGAGCAGAAATGAGGCCGGCGCCTCAGCGAGAGCAGCATTTTGAAAAAAAAACGCAGGCGAAAACCCAACTCCCGGGAATCCTGTGTGTAAAAAACAGTACGCGGGGGGGTGTCGAATACTTTCAGGCCGCCATCGGGGGAAGAGGGAGAGTAGTATTCATATTGAGCAATTGTGGAGGAGGGGGAGGAGGGAGAGAGAGAGAGAGAGGGGGGAGAGGGAGAGAGGGAGGGGGAGAGGGAGAGAGGACGAGAGAGAGGGAGAGAAAGAGGGAGAGAGGGAGAGAGGGAGAGATAGAGAGAGGGAGGGAGAAAAAAGAGAGAGCGCCGTCGGCTGCACGCCAGACCGGCCGCAGGCAAGAGTGCCGTGTGCTGCGCGGCCTGCCGATGGCGGCGCGCGGCGTGGCGGCGCTTCGACGGCCCGCGTGCTCGGGCTTGGCCCCGCCGCGGCCCCGAAGGCCGCGCATGTCTGAAGGGGCCCCAGGACACACAAATAAATATATACAAATACAATAATTCCCAATAGTTTATCATATGTTCTGTGTTTTTGTCTTCCCCCCCACTTCCCATATTTTCTTCTTTTTTTTCCTGGGGAATCGAGGATTCATTGTGTCTGTGTGTTTCTTTTCCTCCTGAATGTCAAGGGCCACTCCGGCGAGGGGTCGCTCTTGCGTGCGGCCGACGCAGGGCGCCCAGCCTTAAGTCGGGCCTGTCCTCCTACAGGGGGGTTCTGGACGAAAGAGTAAAGCTAGTCAAAGAGTACCCCAAAATGATCAAGCAATATGCCAATGATCGTCCCCAGAGTATCTTTTTACTATTTCTGAATACTCCTCCTGTAGAGGGACACGCCCGACTTAAGCCCAGCCGTTGGTTTGTGTCCAGTCCAGGAGTTTCCCCTCGCATCGGCATCCTTGGGCTGGCGGCGCGCACAGGGGGGGGAGGGGGAGAGGGGAGGGCTTCTTGGGAGGAGGCTGCTTCTTAGGAGGCGCCCGCCCCACATCTACAGACTATCGACAAGGCCCGCGCCTCCTAAGAAGCTGGGATGCTTCTACGAAGCCTTCCCGTCCCCCCTCCCCCGACCCCCCCTCTGTGCATGGCCGACAGGAGTTTTCTCTCGCTTCGGCCTCCACGGGGCCGTCGCTGGGCCCCAGCAACATCAACGAAAAATCCGGGGCGCCAAACTAATCCCACCGGCCCTCTAGGCTGCGTGGTCCAACGGAGCTCCCCGCCACAACCCCTCCTCTCTCTGCTCGGGGGAGGGGTCCATCCATCTCCCTAGGACCACCACGGACCACCAAGATCTCTCCTCCTCCTGCTCCTCCTCCTCCTCCTCTTCCTCCTCCCCTTCCTCCTCTCTCAAGCGGGACAATATGACCGTATGCTGCCCCAGACCCGTTCGGAAAAGCATTGGCAACGGCTGACACATCCAGGGCCGCATGCAAATTCCTCTTCCCCATCCCCCTCCTCCTCCTCCTCCTCCTCCTCCTCCTCCTCCTCCTCCTCTTCCTCCTCCTCCTCCTCCTCTTCATCCTCCTCCTCCTCCTCTTCTTCCTCCTCTTCTTCTTCCTCCTCCTCCTCCTCGTCCTCCCCTTCCTCACCTCGTGCTCCTCCTCCTCCATCACCTCCTCCTGCTCCCTCCCTCTCCTCCCTTCTCTCCTCTCTTTACCTCCTCTCTCCTACTCCTGCCTCCCTCCACCTCCTCCTCATGCTCCTCCTCCTCCTCCTCATCTCCTCCTCTCTCCTCTCCTCCTCCTCCTCTCTCATCCTCTCCTCTCCTCCTCCTCTCCGCCTCTCCTTCCTCCCCTCCTGCCCCTCCTCCCCCTCCTCCCCCTCCATCACCTCCTCCTCCTCCTCCTCCTCCTCCTCTTCCTTCTCCTTCTCATCATCATTATCTTCCTCCGCCTCCTCCTCCTCTTCTTCGTTTTCCTCATCCTCGTTCTTCTCCTCCTCCTCCTCCTCCTCCTCCTCCTCATCATCATCATCATCATCATCATCATCATCATCATCATCATCATCATCAGCATCATCATCATCATCATCAGCATCATCATCATCATCATCATGATCATGATCATCATCATCATCATCAACATCATCATCATCATCAGCATCATCATCATCATCATCATCCTGCGCCTCTCTCGTCCGGGGCAATCTGAACGAATATGTTCACAACCCGTTCGGGAAAACATTGGCAGCATGGTGGTGCAGGAGCCCCTCCCCGATGACGTAATGGTGTCAAGTCAACATTTGTCGAAGAGGACCCTAAGAAGACCCCTGTAGAGTGAACACGGCGCCAAGTCGACCTGCCCAACCTACCTTCTGACGGCGCATGCAACAACTGTTCACGCCCTCCCCGCACCCCCGAAAGGCATCCAAGGAGGCTGTCGCACTATATGTTTCTACGCTGCCCTTATTAAGGCAACTCACCTGGTGATCGTAGCTGGATGGGCTGGTGTAGATACTTTTTGGTACGCGGGCGCGCGACGACGAGCCGAACGCCGAGCAAGCTAGGGCGAGGAAAAAACAGCGAGGCGAGCGGGCTGGTGTAGATGGGCGAAGCGTCAAGAATTGCCCCTGGGGGAGGCGTCACGACCTCTGGGAACATGCAACCCATCAGCCGCATGTGTCAGGGCTCGAGCTAAACAGTGTTTTCCGTGATCGCTTTGTTTTCATTATCCTTCGTTCTGTCTTCGTTCTGCCGTTGCTGCGAAGCGAGATCAAAACGAAGAGGGCCAGAAGATCGCAAAAACACCGTTTAGCTCGAGGCCTGGTCTGGGCACGGCTGCGTCTGCCGTACCAGCGTGGACACTGGCTTCTGACACCGCGCAGACCGCGCAATGCTGAAGGGCATATGGTGTCCTACAGGTGTCTCTATGTACGTGGGTCCCGCCCTCACTCGCGGCAGGGCCCGATATCCCAGCCCACAGCGAAATGTTCTGCCTCCTGCGACCGACCCCTGCCCAGAAACTTCCCAGGAAGCCCCCCGCCCAGCAGCCGCAGGCCCGCCCAAGCCGCCGGCGCATGGCGCCCACCGCCAGCGTGGCGCTGGCCCCAGGGCCATCGACTGGCCCCCACCTCGTGCGCTTGGAGCCTAGGTGCCAATGGAAGACGGGAAGCATTCGAGGCAACAGCGCGCAAGCACTCCCAAGGGGCGCCGAAAACCAAGGGCGCGCTGAAAACCAACGAGGCTCAGCGGGCGAAGGTCTCTTCGGGGAGGGACTGCCCCGGGTCAGTGCAGAAGACCTGGGTCAGTCAAGCCGTGCAGAATCCTGAAAGATCTTGCGCGCTAGCCCGGGTCACTGCACCCCTGGCTCTGCTGAATTCTGCAAGATCTGGTGCTCTGGATGACCCCTATTTGTGTTGACCCCCGTCTCAAGGCTGCCGATCTCTCTCTTGATGCCCTGGGCTGGCAGCGGAGATGGTTTAAGGTCTGCCTGGTTCCAGCCGCCATGAGCCTTCAACAGTGAGCACCCGCGCTGGCGTCGCCGCCGCGTTGACGCGGTGCGAGCCTGCCGAAAGGTTGCAAAGACCTCAGGAGCCCACATTGCATCACTTGCAGCGCTGCAGAGCCACAGCACAGGGTCGAAGAAGGCATGGATGCAAGAACAGCGTTGACGAAGTACTGCATCCTCACTGCTTCGCTTGACTGTACATGGGAAGCGGCAGAAGATACGAGAGCACAGCAGCACCACCCCTGGACATTTGTCGCGGTCCTGTCCCTCCGCGGACAAGAGCTCGGTGCTGTGACGGGAAAAGACGAAAACAGCAACAGGGAAATTCGCTGTCGCCCGCCACGGCCTCCGTCATTTATAATGCTGAAGACGGCTTAGCGGAGCCCTACATTTGCTTCCAAGTGCATTCCGACTTGTACAGAATGCACGTGTACGTTCCTATGGCAATCTGCAGGAATTAATGAGCAGCCAACAGGGGACAACGGAGGGACAACGTCCACAGCCAAGAGAACATTGCTGACAACAGTCTGCGCGCTTCCGCCCTTTTCCCAAAACACGAGAAACGATAATGGAGGGAACTCCGTGGCAACCCGCAAGGAGAATGCAGACACTGAACGGAGCAGACACGACTCATTACTACTTCGTGGCACTGCGATCACGACCACTACTACGACTGCCGCCAAGACCACGACAACGACCACGACGACTACTCCTTCGGCTGCGACTACGACCGCGACTACGCTTATGACCACAACCACTACTTGAACGAAGCGAGCCGAACATGCTGCCCCAGCCACTATCCATCCAGATCGCCAGGCCAGCTTGGAAGAGCCCCAAGCCTCGGAGGAAGGCTGCGCGCACGACCGCATGGAGGCACCACTCTGCGCCCACGCCCGGGAGCTCCCCGGGCCCGAGGGCTACGCATGGTCGACGTCGACGGCGGTCGGAGGGGCGAACGCTGGGAGCGCGCGGGCTCCAGGCTCCTCTGGTGCCCCGCATCTGGCGGAGAGCGGCACGCGCCTCCGAACACGCAAGCTACACGGAGTCCGGAACGTGGTGAGCATCGGCCGGCGCCTCGGACGGCGCTCGCAATTTCTGGTCGGCGGGGCGAGAGCGAGCCTCCTCCGTGAAAAGGTGGGCGGGCTGCGCACAGCTCCAATTGGGGAGGCAGGGCGCACAGGCGGGCGGCCGGGCGGCGCTCAAACAAAAGCGAGCGTAGAGACGCGCGGGCAGAGCCCACGGCGCATCCTATAGCGGTCGCCGCCGGGCAGACGCGGCGACGCGCGGGTGAGACCGGCAGGCAGGCAGGAGGCACCACACGGGCCGGCCTGCTACAGTCGGGGCGTTGACCTAAGGAACCCTAAATAAGGAACGAGGCCCCTTTTTTTCCATAAGTTGAACTTCGATTTCCGATCGAAAACATAAGGAAAACCTGAGGCAAGCTGTGAAACACTTAAGGAACGCGGAGCCCCTCCCCAACGAAAAGGGTTCCTTCTTCAGGGCCCCGACTGTACTTGCCGAGGTCATGCAGCGGGCCAGGGTGGGCTTTATACCCGGACGCCCCATCTCTTCCTCTGGCTGACGATGCTGGGCAGGTCCATCTGAGCGGCGTCCATGTGCAGCATCTTGTCAATCACGGACTGCGACCAGACCTTGCCGATGAGGTCGGCAAGATCGGGGTCGGTCATGCACAGGTGCAGCAGGGGCTTCAGCTCCCATCTCCGAACCTCAACGCCCTCGCCCGCCTGCACGTCCCATTTGGCTCTGCTGCGCTGCAGGAGCTCGTCCAGGTTCCGGGTGCGCAGCTCGGCGTCGGCGTCGGCGCTCGCCGGCTGCCCCATGCCGAAGCCGCCCCAGAGCTCGCTGAAGGCGTGGACGAACTCCACGTCGAGCTCCCTGCTCTTCTCCACCTGGGCCAGGCGGTGCTTGTAGAGCTCCTCAAACGAAGAAAGAACGCCATAAACATAAACTTTCGGCGCTCCGCGCGGATTTCGTGGATCCGCGCTGGGCCCCCCCGCGGCGCCTCTGGCGCCGCCCCTGGCGCGCTTCGCGTGCCAGGGAGCGGTGTCCATCGCAGATCCAGGCAATCCGCGCGGAGCGCCAAAAGCTTTTGTGTATGGCGTTCCTTCTTTCTCGACTCCTGGCTCACGCTCACCGCCTTCGGCCCCGACACCATGTTCAGCAGCTGCAGCGCCCTCAGCTCGCCAACCCAGGCCCCCGCGCTGTAGGGGTCCACGTCGGCGGCCTCTCCGCTCACGGAGTCGAGGCCGCGGATGTGCTTGTCGTCCGACAGCCTGAACACGTGGCCGCGGAGCACGAGCTCGACATGCTCCTTCTCAGGGGCGGCCAAGAGGGGGGCGTCCAAGAGGGGGGGGCGCAAATCATGGCCGGCGGCATGTGCGCGGCCCGGGAGGTGGGGGGCAGAAACGTAATGAAACAAGAAGCGCCATGGAATCTGAGGAAACATCATGGCCCAAGCCATGATATCCCCCCCCCCCTTGTCATCACCCCCCTCTTGGCCGCCCCCGACCTTCGCCTCGCCCTGAACTGCGATCTTGGTGCCGGGGGGCACTAGGCAGGTCTCCCCGAGGTTCCAGAAGTCCCGAAACTGCCGCGGGCCGACGCCGAACGGCATGAAATACTTCTCGTAGATGTCCAGCTCCTTCGGGGGGAGCACCACCGGCTGCCTGTCCTGAAGCAGCTTCCATACCATGAATATGTTGATGCAGACCTTCAGGAATGCCCAGATGAACGGCACCTTGAAGGGGGAGGGCAGGACGGAGAACGGAGAGGAGGGAGGCAGGATCGAGGAGAGGAGGGATGGAGAGGGACGGAGGGAGGAGGCGAGAAGAGAGGAGGGCAGGGAGGCGGAGGACGAGACATGCGGGGAGGAAGAGCAGCAGCGGCGAGAACAGAGGCACCAGCAGCAGGACCGAGAGCTGGAGGAGAAGGAGCCAGACCTGCTTTGAGAGCAAAGTGCGTGCGACCACCAGCCCAGCTCAGTGGGGGAGGGGCAGGGAGCGAGAAAGGTTGAGAAGGAGGGAAGGCCCTCACCGTCCGTCCTCCCCTCCCTCCTTCCCTCCCTCCCTTCTCCTCCTCCTCCTCCTCCTCCTCCTCCTCCTCCTCCTCCTCCTCCTCCTCCTCCTCATTATCCCACCTCCCTCACTCCCTTGCTCCTTTCCTCCCTCCTCCTTCTCCCTCTTCCATCCCTCCCTTCCTCCGTTCCTCCCTCCTCCTGCTCACTCCCCGTCTCCCCTCCTCTCTCCCATCCTTCCTCCTCCTCCTGCTTCCCCAGCGGCGGGCGACAGCTCACAAGGGGCATGTTTGGCCTGCCCGCGATGATTATTGGTAGGGGCAGCGGCCGGAAGCAGGGGAGATGGGGAAGAAGGGGAGAGCTCAGGCACGTGGCCTGCGACTTGGCCAGAGAGCTCGTGCAGGATGAAGAATTGCCGAGAGTGCAGGACAAGTAGAGGGGCACGCGAGGGCACAGAGTAACTGAGCCAGGATGGAGGGGGGGTGGAAGCAGGGAAGGAGGGAGAGAGGGGAGGGAGGGAAGAAGGGGAGGGAGGGAAGGGAGAGACAGGATGGAGGGGAGGGGGGAGGAGGGGACGAAGGCAAGAAGGTAAGAATGTAGGGCAGGAGAGGAGGGACGAGCTCGAGATCCGGGACCCGCCCGCGGTGGTCATCCATAGGGACGGGGGCGGCGAGGAAGAGAGGGAAGATCGAGGAGGGGAAGGAGTTGTTCCCAACCATACTGTGGTGCTGGGTCTTCTTTTTTAAAGAGGCAACGCCCCGCGTTCCTCCTCCTCCCGCTGCCCCCTCCCTCCTCCCGCTCCTCCCTCCTCCCGTCACCCCCCTCACTTTGGCACACCCCTCACGCGCTTCGTGGCCCCATAGGGAGCCCCACCGAAGGCCCATACGCTAGCGTTCGCATGCGCCCACCGCCCGCATTTTGGCACACCCCTCACAAGTTTCGTGGCCCCATAGGGAGCCCTACCGAAGGCCCAAATGCCAGCGTTCGCATGTGCTCACCGCAGCCATTTTGGCACACCTCTCACACGATTCGTGGCCACACTGGGAGCCTCACCGAAGGCCAAGATGCCAGCGTTCGCAGGCGCGCACCGCACCCATTTTGGCACACCTCTCACACGTTTCGTGGCCACACTGGGAGCCCTACCGAAGGCCCAAATGCCAGCGTTCGCATGCGCCCACGGCACCCATTTTGACACGCCCCTCACGCGTTTCGTGACCCCGTAGGGAGCCCCACCGAAAGCTCAAATGCCAGCGTTCGCATGCGCCCACCGCGCCCATTGCGGCACACCCCTCACACGTTTCGTGGCCCCAGTGGGAGCCCTACCGGCCCACATGCCAGCGTTGGCATGCGCCCAACGCGCCCATTTTGGCACACCCTTCACACGTTTCGTGACCCCATCGGGAGCCCCACCGAAGGCCCAAATGCCAGCGTTCGCATACGCCCATCGCACCCAGTTTGGCACGCCCTTCACTCGTTTCGTGGCCCGATAGGGAGCCCCACCGAAGGCCCAAATGCCAGCGTTCGCATGCGCCCACCGCGCCCATTGTGGCACATCCCTCACACGTTTGGTAGCCCCATAGGGAGCTCCACCGAATGCGGTGCATACAACGACGGTGCCCACAACTGCAGATGTTTTGGTTTTTCGTCAGGCTAATTCTTGTTTGGGGCGGGGGGGCGGGGGTTAGAGTCGAGCGCCAGACTCCCATGCACGACATTGCACGGCGACGAAGTGGGAGGCCGAAAACGAGGGCCCGAAAAAAAGCGAGCGAGGCGAGGGACCAGGGGGAGCCACCGACGGCGGAGTGGGGGATGAGGGAGACGGGGTGCGACTGATGGGGGAGCGGGCCGGTGAGACTTGAGGACCTCGGAGACCTCGAGGACCTCGAGGGTCTCGAGGACCTCGAGGACCAGTGGCCGGACACGGAGGCGGTGCGACCGCTGCCGCTTTGGAGCAGGAGCAGCAGGAGCTCTTGTCTGAGCGTGGGCCATCGTCAAGCCCTTCACTCCCCTGAACAAGCTACAGTCGCAGCGCGCGGCGCAGGGGCCGGAGCGAGGGCCTGAACAGGAGCGAAGCGAGAGCCGCAGGAGGTTCCCGAGCGGCGGGGGCCCGCCGACACCCACACGCCCAGGCAGGGACCGAGCACCCCGCAGGGGGAATGGGCCAAGTTTAAACCACCACTACCATCGGTAGGACGGGGGAGAAGGGAGGACGGGAAGGTCCTCCTCCTCTTCCTCCTCCTCCTCCTCCTCCTCCTCTCCGACCTAGTTATGGTTGTGGTGGTGGACAATCGGCCCATCAAGGGACACACTAAATCCACTAGCAGTGAGTCCGCCGCCCATGTTGCATCCTTCGGGGGCCTTGTCCGTGCCACCGCGGCCCTGTCCGCGCCGACTCCGTGTCGAATCCACGTCGGACTCGTCGAGTCCGTGCCTGGCGCCGGATCCGCGTCGACTCCACGCAAAGTCTGCGTCGAGTCCGCACCGAGCATGCGTGGGGCACGAGAGAAGACACCCATTCGGGGGACAGGCGAGGCCCGCGCAGGGCCAGGGCAGAGAGGCACTGCCTTCAGGCTCAAGGGGGGGGGCGCAGAGGGAGAGGGGGGAGGCGTGACCCCCTTCGCATGAGTGCGCCCTCCTTGCAGGCGCCAGCCAGGGATCGCCCCGAACAGCGTTTTTTCCCAAAAATCTCTGGTGTTGGGTTTTCGTTGTGAAGAGGCAGTCCCATCGTCTTCTCTCATCTTTCCTCCTCTTCTCCTCCTCTCCATCTCCCTCATTCCTCCTCCCATCCCTGCCTCTGTCTCCCCCCGAGCACGGCGCTTCGTGGCACCATAGGAAGCTCCATCTAAGGCTCCAGTGGCGGTGTCCACATGCGACTCCCACATTCAGCACGGCATTCCGTGGCACCATAGAGAGCTCCACCTAAGGTCCCAGTGGCGGTGCCCACGTGCGCCCCCCCCCCCCACCCCACCGAGCACAGCGTTGCGCGGCCCCATAAGGAGCTCCACCTAAGGCCCCAATTGCGGTGACCACATGCGTTCCCCCCCCCGCCCAGAACAACGTTGCGTGGCCCCAGAGGGAGCCCCACCGAAGGCCCCAGCGGCGGTGTTCCCATGCGCCTTCCCCACCCAGCACAGCGCTTCGTGACACCATAGAGAACCCCACCTAAGGCCCCAGTGGCGGTGCCCACATGCGACTCCCTCATCCAGCACGGCGTTCCGTGGCACCATCAGGAGCTCCACCTAAGGTCCCAGTGGCGGTGTCCACGTGCGCCCCCCCCCCCACCGAGCACAGCGTTGCGCGGCCCCATAGGGAGTTCCACCTAAGGCCCCAATGGCGGTGTCCACATGCGTCCCCCCCCCCCGCCCAGCACAACCTTGCGTGGCCCCAGAGGGAGCCCCACCGAAGGCCCCAGCGGCGGTGTTCCCATGCGCCTCCCCCACCCAGCACAGCGCTTCGTGACACCATAGAGAACCCCACCTAAGGCCCCAGTGGCGGTGTCCACATGCGACTCCCCCATCCAGCACGGCATGTCTTGGCACCATGGGGAGCCCCACCTAAGGCGCAAGTGGCGGTGTCCACATGCGTACCCCCTTCCGAGCACAGCGCTGCGTGGCACCAGATGGAGCTCCACCTAAGGCCCCGGTGGCGGTGTCCACATGCGTCCCCACCCCACCCACTACAGCGTTTCGCGGCCCCATAGGGAGCTTCACCTAGGGTCCCAGTGGCGGTGTCCACGTGCGTCCCCCCACCCAGCACAGCGTTGCGCGGCCCCATAGGAAGCTCCACCTAAGGCCCCAGTGGCGGTATCCACATGCGTCCCCCCACCCAGCACAACGTTGCGTGGCCCCATAGCGAAATCCACCTAAGGCCCCGTTGGCGGTGTCCACATGGGCCTCCCCCACCCAGCACATCTCTTCGTGGCCCCACAGGGAGCTCCACCGAAGGCCCCAGTGGCAAAGTTCGCATGCGTCTCCACCACCCAGTACAGCGTTCCGTGGCCAAGAGGGAGCTCCACCGAAGGCGATGCCCACAACTGCGGTACTCACAACTGCATATGGTTGAGTCCTTCGCCAAGCTAATTCGTCTTCGTTGTGTTTTTTGGCCGCCCTGGCCGCTCCACGGCGACGAACCTCACCATGTGAATGCCCTCCCCTCCCTGCCTCCTCCCTTCCCGGTGTCATGTGACGTGGCGCTCAGGATGTCTCGACCCCTTCCCTGGTGCCGACTTCTCATCCCGAGCAGTTGCTCGACAGTGCCAAGGGCCCCGTAGGAGCCCCCAGAATAACAAAATGACACCGTCAGTCGTGACTCTTTCACGGGTCGGTGGGGTCTGCGTATCAGGCCATGTTTCACGCCATCACGCCGAGGGCTGGCGTCGGGGTGTCTCCCGAAAAGTGCTCCTCTGTCTGCGTTTCTCGGTGCCGCCCGCCGCGCAGGATGCATCTTCGCAGTCGTAGTTCCCGTCCTACTCGTCCTCTTCTTCTGCTTCCTCATCATCCTCGTCTACTCCACCTCCTCCTCCTCCTCCTCCTCCTCCTCCTCCTCCTCCTCCTCCTCCTCCTTCTACTGGCCCTTCTCTTTCTCCTCCTCCTCCTCCTCCACCTCCACTTCCTCCTCCTCGTAATTCTCGTCATCCTCACGAGCCCTCCTCCTCCTCCTCCTCCTCCTCCTCCTCCTCCTCCTCCACCTCCTCCGTCTTCCCATCCCTCTGCCTCTGCTCGTCCTCTGGTCAGCTGGTTAGCTGCAACTATTCATTCACATATGTGAGAACACGAAACAGAATTCTCGACGGAACGCCATCCCGACTAGCTGCTGTAACATGTGCGAACAGGACGGAATACTTGTTTCAAATTGGTAGTAGCTGGACGTTCCACCCTGACTCCGACCCACCCTCGATAGTCTACATCCCGTCATCTACCTACGAGGTGATGGTGTGCACAGTCGCTTCCAGCGTGAGTGCAATACACAGCCCCGCAGGGTGGAATGCACAGGCCATGGGCGCTATGAAGGCCCGAGGGGTGAAAACACTGATCCCCGGGGGGGACTTGCACAGCCCAGCGGGGTGGAATGCGTGCCCTGGGTGTGGGGAACAGCCCGAGGGGGTGGAACGCAAGCGGCCCCGAGGGGGTATATTGCACAGCCCCCCCCCGGGGTGCACTGCACGTGCCCTGGCCGTGGAAGGCGGTCCCCGATGGGGGGACTGCACGGCACACGACGATGTGGATTGCACAGACGACTCATCCTCCCCCCACCTCCGCAGACGTCGCTGTCCTTCTCCTCCGCATTGCTCCCTCTCCTCGTCCACCCCTTCGTCGTCCTCCTTCTTCTCCTCCGCTTTCTCCTCCTCTGTCCGTAAGTCGGGCCTGTCCCCCTGCAGGCGGTTTTTGGGCGATCAACAAAAAATGCCCCAACAATTTTATTCAAAAAATACCCTACAAATCGTCCCCAAAACTATTTGTTGACTGTGATTGTATCTTCCTCCTGTAGAGGGACAGGCCCGACTTCACTCTGTCCCCCTCCTCGACACCCTCCCTTTCTGTTCCGCAGCCGGCGCTCCAGGCCTCCGGCGAGTGAGCAAGACACCCCCCCCCTGCACCCCAAAAAACACACACGCGAGGCGCCGGACGACGTGCGCGGGCCTTCATGGACGGTATCCTGCTGATGAAGAAGAGTGCCATGCCGCCGTTGCCGAAGATCATGATCCCTCTGGCCCGCGATCCAGCCGGTCGTCCTCATCCTCCTCCTCCTCCTCCTCCTCCTCCTCCTCCTCCTCCTTTTCCTCCTTCTCCTCCTCCTCGTTCCTCCTCCTCCTGGCTCTCCTCCTCGCGCTCCTTCCGAAGACCCTCGCCGCCGTGCCGAAAGTCATGATCCCTCCGGCCCGCGACCCAGCCGGTCATCCTCATCCTCCCCCCCCCTCGTCCTCAGCGTCATCACCACCACCACCACCATCACCGAAACCACCCCGACTGTGTCAGCACTAGGCTTCTTCACTAAGTGATCTCAGAGCACCTACTTATGACATGCATGCCATACCGTGGCGCGGGTCACGATGATACTCGCTTCTGTGCTATGCTGTGCTACGTGTTCTTCCATGGCCCCTCGATTTCGCATCAGACTACCTCGCAATGTCTCAGGCTGGAACCTTGTTTTTCATAGCAGCATTTCGTTTCTTTGTTTTTGCCTCATTCGTCAGAACCAACGTCGCAAATCAACTCGCGCGACGACGGGCCCGGCCAACCTTCCCAACCAATCCCCGGAGATCCGGCCAACCCACCCGGCCAACCCCATCTGGCCAACCCTGGTTAGACCAATTCTTTCCATAATATATAACACATAAAAAACAAATACGTACATTATGCACAATGAGTGGTCGGACGCAGCAGAACGTAAGGCTCTGAATGGCAGGGACAGGCTGGGCGGGCCTGTTTTTATCTGAGGTCCTCGTCCTCCGTGCCTCCCCCACCCGCTGCCCGTCTTGGCACAAGGCTTCCTCGGGGCCTCAGAATGTATGACTCATTTCTTCAGATGAACAAGGAGAACGAAACACGGCATATACATACATTTTAGCGTTTCGCGCGGACTCTTTGGATCTGCGCCTGAAGCCCTCCTTGGCGCGTAGAGCGCGCCAGGGGCGGCGCCTGAGGCGCCGCGTGCCGCCAAGGAGGGCCCCAGAGCGCAGATCCAAAAAATCCGCGCGGAGCGCAAACAGTTTATGCTTATGGCGCTTCTTCTCGTCACGAGCTTTGTGGATGCCATGACAGTGGATACACTCACAATCCGATCATTGAATTAGCGATGTGTTTAACATGTGTGAGGCACGGTCTACAAATATCACCTGTTTTTACATATGTAGAACATGTTTGACACATGTTTTAACATCTGAAGATTGTTAGGCAGCATGCCTCCTCTCCATTAGCCAACTGCCACAACGCGAGCTCTCCTCGGGGCCTCGGTGGCCCCAGGCGCCCGGCCGGCCCCGGGCTGGCGCCGAAGCTGCGCCCCGGGCCGCCGCCGAGGGCAAGCGGCACGCGCCGGGGGGCGGCGGCGCGCGCCTGCCCTCGGCAACGCGGCGGGGGCGGCGGCGCGGCGCCGAGGGCGCGGCTGCGGGGGGCGCGGGCCTGCGGGTTCGGAGCGCAGTGCGAGCTGCGCGGCGTGGCCGCGGCTCTTCTTGCTGGCTGGCAGCCGCTCTCCCGCTTCTGGCTGGCAGCCGCCCTCCTTTCTCTTGTCGTCCTTGCCGCGCCGCCCTTCTTGTGGCTGGCCGCCGCCGCGGCAGCGGGCCACGGGCCGCCACTGCCGCCGCTGCCGCCGCCGCCGCCTCCACCGCGGTGCACCGCCACCCGCCTGCAGCGCCGGCGGCCCGGCGCCCCGCCGGGAGGCGAGGAGGCGCAGCTTGTCCTCGCGCTCGCACCACCACGTGGCGTGAGGGGTCGTCTCTGATCTGGCGGAGTCGCTCAGAGGGGCGAAAAGGTACCGAGATCGCTGCGTTCCCCTCGTTTTCGCCTTCTCGGGCCTTCTGGGAGGCCCTCGTCGGCACTGCTGGATTAGCTTCGACACTCTGGTCAGAACACCCTGGGAGAGGTCTGCGCAGTAGCGGTATGGGTACCATTTGGTTTCCCCAGTCGCTGATGACGAACTCCCCTGGGCGGCCCTGGTCGAAGACGCCCGCGTAGCTCCCGTTGGCGACACGGGCCTCTGTCTGGCGCCGGATGTGCTCCCAACGCCCCGCTCGCATTTTTTCCGTAGGCCTGCGAGACGATGCGGAGGCGCCCGACAGGGAGGCCATCAGAGCGAGCATCGCCGCCCTGGAGACTCGCCAACACGCCCGCCAGGTGTCGAGAAAGGAGGGCCCCTGGAGCTGCCGAGTGGCCGCGCCCGGGCGGTGACCCGCAGCAGCTGCTGCTCACGCTGGCCGCAGGGCCCCCCGCGCGGCCATGTTGACGCATGGGGCCCTGTCTTCTGCGAGTTCGGCGGCTGCCGGCGGGCGAAGGCTAGTCCTCCGACGCGTCCTCGTGCGCGCGGCCCCCCCCTGTCGGGGGGCCTTTCAAACGGCTCACGAAGCCGCGGTGCGGGGCGCTGGGAGGAACTCGACGACCCCGTCGCCCGCCTGGCCCGTGAGGGCGTCCAATTTGCGTCTCCAAGCCGCGGATTCGCCACCGAACCAGCTCATCGCCCCAGGTGCTGCGGCGCCTCTATGGCTAAAGGGAACACTCGGGAGAGCGAGAGCACGGAAGTGAGCTCGAAAGCGGAGCTTGACACCAAAATGTCTACGGGCACGCGAACACCATGTGACTCCGTGTATCCGCTCCGCTTCTGCACCCCTCATCACACGCACACGCGCACACACACACACACACACACACACACACGCGCGCGCACGCACACAAACACACACAAAAATACACACACGCGCACACACACACACACACTACAACAAACATACCTTCACCAGCAAATGTATCCCTCTCTCGGGCGCCGTTGGCTGCACCTGGCAGCCAGGCAGACATACACGTACCTATACGACCGCCCTGCCAGCGATAAGGAGGTTGGGGGGGATTGAGATCAAATGCCCACCCTGACTGACCTCCAGCCTGTCACCTTGATATCAGATCACTCTTTCTCTCTGCCTCTCTCTCTCTCTGTCTCTCTCTCTCTCTCGCCCTCTCTCTCTCTCTCTCCCTCCCTCTCTATCAGAGTCTCCCTCCACCACAATGATGATTGCGATGACGATGATATCCCACTATCTACCTATCCGTCTACCGACCTATCGGTGAGTATCACTGTCGATCTCACTATCGACCTCAAATCAAAAACGATGGGATAAGATGTATTTGAAAAGATAAGATGGGTTGGATGGAAAGAAATGGCATGTATAAGATAAGATGTATTGGATTGGCCCGCCGCTGGCGCAGGAACAAATTAATTGATGGATTGGGTTGGGTGGATTGGATTGGGTGGGGTAAGATAAGATGGGACAATATGGGTTGGATAAGATAAGATGGATTGGATTGGACAAGATGGATTGGGTAAGATAAGCTGAATTGGATAAGAAAGCCCGCCGCAGGCGCCGAACAACATGAATTATTAAATCAGCGACATGCGTTTGCGCCGGGACGCCCGGGACACCCAGGTCACCCGGGACACCGCCTGGCCCAACTGGGACACCTCCCAGCCACCGGCGGACGGGAAACGGACTTTCGCTCCTACTGACACCCGGGACACCCGGGACACCGCCCGGCCCAACTGGGACACCTCCCACCGGCGGACGGTAACGGACTTTCGCTCCTACTTCGGCCAAGCTACAGGAGGATCACGCGCAGCTTCGCCTCGCCCGCACGCACAACACGAACACGAACACGAAACCGATTTCCCGCTGTTGGTTCTCCGTTTCACTGCGATCTCACCCCCAACCTCCGACACACACGCGCACACACAAACACACACAGACAGACAGACAGACAGACAGACAGACAGACAGACAGACAGACAGACAGACACACGCACACACACACAAACACACACACACACGCACACGCGCGTGCGCGCCTTGCAGGTGCAGGGCGTCCGCGCACGCGAAGCCGCTGAGCTGGAAGAGGTTGGCCGCGGTGATGATCGGGTCTCCGTGCCTGAGGGGTGCAGGCCTCCTCCGAGGGCCCCTCCTCCATGACAAGCACGTGGGGGGGAAGAGAGTGGCAGGAGGGAAAACAAGAGGAGCCAGAGCCCCGACGAACTGCTTTTCCCTAGTGGTCGCAGGCCTGAGTCTGGGGAAGCCTCCCGAGGTCCCTGGAAGTCTCCGATTGTCTCTGGAAGTCCCAATCGGTGCGTTCGGGTGGCCTCAAGGCGTCGGGTGGCGCACCGTGCAAATACCCAAGACTTCTCCAAACTCCGAGTTACGCTTAGGTCGGGCACGTCCTCCTTCATGCGGATTTTCGAAGAAAACGTAAACACTGTCCAGAAATAGTCCCCAAATATCCCAAGCAGCGCGAAACATCGTCCCAGACTATGTTTGACCATTCTCGAACATTCCTCCTGTAGAGGGGCATGCCCGACTTCAAGCTATGCCACATGACAATTCAAGCAGCCCGTGGACGGGTCGGCGACGGGGTGCGCACGACGCCCCTGCTGCGTCGGCCACAGGACGGGAGCGGCCCGCAGCGGGTGTGGAGGGAGACGCTGCCCGCCGGGGCGCCGCCGCCGCTGCCGCACGGCTCGCCGCCGGCACCGCGGGGCAGCTGCGCGGGGGGAGGAGTGGGGTGGTGGTGTTAGGTCGGGCATGTCCTCCTACAGGCAGATTTTGAAGACAAATGAAAAGTAGTCAAAAAATGATACCAACATCGTCCCCAGACTTTTTTTTATATAGATCAAAGAATTTTCTTCCTGTAGAGGGAGACGCCCGACTTACATGGTGGTGGTGGTGAACGGTGACCTTGCTATCGGTACACGCTCACATCACAACACCAGAAGGAGAAAAAACGCCAGATAAACATGCGTCGACGGGTGGATTCTGATTTTTTCCTGCCAACGGCATCTTAGTCCTGGTTCCGAGCGGAGCCGGCGCAGCAATTCAGAGACAAGTCAGGCCCCATGGTCCAGAAGATTAGAAATGCAATGAGAAGAGGGAGAAAAAGGGGGGACTTGAAGCAACAAAAAGCAGCAGATGCATCGGTGCCATTTTGCACTCGGCACGCAGAGTAAAAAGGGAACCAGGTACGGAAGACACCGATCCCTCCTAACAGCATACACGTGCAAGCGCTGGTTATGCTTAGACGGGTGGATTATATTTTTCCCGGCGGGCGGCATCTTAGTTTTGGCTCCGAGCGGAGCCGGCGCAGCATATCGAAGACAATTCAGGCCACTGCCCAGAAACCTGTACTCGGGGGGGGGGGTAAGGGAGGAGGGAGGGTGTCTTAATTTGGCCCTCGAGAGGCGAGTTATATCATCACAGAAGCGAGTGGGATATTCAGCAGCAAGCAGAGAACGCATATGTTTACCATCGTCGCGGCCTTCGACAAATTCGTGCGGGAGAACTAAGAAAGAGCACGTGCCTCTGCCCCGACAATGCTGAGTCGCCACATCAGACATATCGGTACTCGCATAGAGCAGCCCTGTTCGCTCACGATACCTGGACCCATATGCACAGTGATCGAAAGTGATGTAAGAGAACAGCCTCAACAAACTCTCAAACCGAGGATGCGACCAGAGCATGCGCGACGCGGAAATCTCGAGCACGATGGGCGCCCCTGTCTTGGCAACTGCTTCAAACAGGAGGGCTGCCCAAGTCGCCTGCTGACTACCGAGGGCAACTTTTCGTGCATCTTTTTCGCCCAGACCAGGCAGGCCAAGAATATTGATTGCGTCTCGACTTGGGCCAGGTCAGCCAAGGCGCGTTCTGACTCGAGGCCCGCGCCTCGCCCTGGGCGCGCGCCAGCGCGATGAAGACCAGGGCCAGCCGCCCGAGCTTCGCCAGCTCGCGCGCCTGCGCCTGCACGGCAGGGCGCGTGGCGTCCTCGAGCGGCGAAGCGCAGAGCTCCCAGCTGCGCGCGACCAGGCCAGCTCGCGCGGCGGCCCGAGCAATACCCCTTTGTGCCTGCCATCAGGTCGACGACGAGCAGGGGCGAGGAAGCCCGGCGCGGCAAACGCAGCTGGCCGCCATGCTCGCCCCAGGCCCCCAGATCGGCGGCCCCCGTTGCCCTGGTGCTCTTTTGCATGCGGCGTGCGGAGCGAGAAGGGCACCGGGCACCCAGCGCCCTCGTCGCTGCGGCGGGAGCGACAGCGCGCTCGTTCCAGGCATGATCCCATCGAAGCTGCGCCACTGCAGGTCGCAATGCGCGCGCGGCTATCAGCATCGGCAGGCCCAGGAGCTGGCGCGCCATGCCCGGTTCGGCGCAGCGGCGGACCGACTTGTCCTGCGCCCAGTGCCCGCGCGCCTTCACCCTGGCCAGCGTGCGGCGCTTCGACGGCGCGTCGTCGCTGGCGCCCCCGCGCTGGAGCTGACGCAGCATGGGCCCCTGCAGCCCGGGCCCCATCGCCGAGGCGGCGGGACGCAGCTCTCGCCTGGGCCGCAGGCGTCGAGAAGGGCGGCTCGTCGGGCTGCCGACCCCGTGCGCGCGCCCCCAGCAGCGGCCCGAGCCAGGGCGGGACGTCGAAGACGATCGACTCGTCGGACGCCCCCGTCTTGGTCAGGGCCCGCGGGCCCGCCCGCCCCGACAGGGGTCGCGCGGGGTCCTCGTGCGTCGGAGCCAGCGACGCCCAGCGCCCCAGCGGCCCCGCCTCGCGCAGAGGCTGGATGAGTTGTTTCACTTGTTTCACCTTGAGCTGTCGCATCGCGCCAGGCCTGATGCGCGCGAAGTGCTGCGTCGCCGCCTGCAGCGCCGCGCCTCGCATGTTCCTGGCCACCACGCCCGAAGCGATGGGCGCCATGACCTCAGGGCAGCGGCGCCCTCGAGCGGGGCGGGGCCTGTTTGCCGAAGCCCTCGAGCGTCCTCGAGACCTGAGGGGGCGACCCGATCCCAGCGGCACACGGCAGCGCGCCCTTCACGGCCGCCACCATGTAACCCCCGTCGTGATTCGGGCAGTCGCTCTGCATCGGGCAGTCGAGCATCTCCAGCAGCTTCGCCTGCAGCGCATCGACGGTGTCGGGCGCCGGGTGTGGCAGGCAGAATTCGGAGAAGGCGGCGAAGCACTCCTCGAACTTGGCCCTCGCGTCGACGCCCACGGCCGCCTCCTCGCGCGCCGAGTGGAAGAGGGGGGCAGGCGAGCTGCGCGGCCCGCCCAGCACCTCGCGCAGCCGCGGCCGCGTGGCGCGGGGGGCCTCGGAAGAGGCAGGCCGGCGCCGCGCCGGCTGCGCGCGCGTGCCGGCCCGCGCGGCAGGCCTCGGGCCCACTGCCGCGGCGGGCCTGCGGCGGGCGGCCCGCGCAGGCGGCGCCGGCCGCGCCGTCGTCGACCCCGTCCGCGAGGTGCTGCCGCCAGCCACGCTCAGAGGCCCAAAGATGGACCGGTGCCCTTTTGTAGTCGGCACGCGAAGCAAAAAGGGCAGCGGGCTACAGATGCTGGAGGTGCTCGATCAGACGCGCGGGCTTGTCTCCCGCGTCGAGCTCGGAAGGGCCCAGCGAGGCCCCGCCCCAATGTTTGAGCCGAGTTGCAGCGCAGCAGACCGACGACAAAGCTGAAGGAGACCGTGGGAGGCGGCGCAACCCCGTTCGATCGAGCAATACGCGCCGAAGTCGTCGATGAGATACAGCCGGGTGTTGTGTTTCGAAACGTTCTTCGCGTCTCTCCTCAAAGCCCGCGGATAGGCCGTGCCCTCCGTCACCCCAGCGGGCCAGCGTACGCAGCGCGGAAATCAAAATCCAGGATCTCTGCTCCGACCTCGAGAAACCTTGAGTGCTCTCCCCATCCTGCATCCGACGCCTGAGACGATTTTCCCACGCATTATGAAACTGAATGATCTCGTCCGGACCGTCCAGCGCGCGCCGACGTGGCACCCGCTTGGCCGGGTCCGCCAGCGCCCACGACAGCGCCCGGCAGCCGCGACGTCGGGCACCTTGGCGGCCGCCTCAACAACGCCGACGCCAGTGGTCGAGGCGCCGGCTGCCACGACGAGGTCCGCCCATGGCCGCGAGAGGTCGGTGCTCACCATGATCGAGACGCCGCCCATGACCCAGCACTCGTAGCGGCACGAGGGCCAGAGGCGGCACGGCTGATCGGACCCGTCCTTGACGAAGTCGTAGACGGCCCTCAGGCAGGATGCGCCCGGGCAGGGCGCCCGCCGATGTCGGTGACCAGCACGGTCGCCGCTGCGCTGACGCCGGTGATCGCATGCAACTTGAAGCAGGCGGCCTCGAATTGCTTCGCGACGGCGTCGCGCGTCTTGCCGACTTCGTCGCCGTCCAGCCCGACGACGTCGATGTGATCCGAGTGCGGCAGCTCGACCGCGCCTCCCTCGAGCAGGGGCAGCGGCCAGCTGCCCAGAGCGACCAGGGCCAGCGGCGCTGCGCGAACCAGATGGCCCGGCTCCATCCCATCCGGCAGCGCAGTCAGCGCTGGGAAGACTGACGAGGCGCCCGCGATCGGCGAGCCGTCCGAGAAGTGCGCCCATCCCAGGCTAGCGGCCTCGGCGTCCGTGATCTCCGGCAGGCCGAAGTGCCTGCTGATGTCGCCCAGTCCTCCATACTAGTAGAAGCAGCGCTCCACGCGCGCGCCGGCGACGTAAAGCTCCCGCCCGCCCAGCGAGGGAACTTTCAGCATCGAGAGGGACTCGACGGCGGCGATCTCGATGCAGGGGGCGCGTCGGCAGCGCACGCTGGCCAGTCTGCAGTCCAGCGCCCCTCGCAGCCCTCCGTCCTTCTTCCCCACGAAGAAGGGCGTGATCGTGTCCGCCACCGAAGGCAGCGGCGCCAGGATGTCGACGTCCGCCAGTTACTAAATCCCGTTACTTAGGGGACTCGGGCCGACTTGGACACGGCCGAGGATCTGCGCGCTTTTCGGCTACAACTCACCTGAAATAAGCTGACAGCTCTGAAAACAAACAAAACATCAAGAAATATAACGCCGAGAGCCGCCGAGGACCGAAAGAAATACCAAACCATCCAAAAGCAACACCCACAGTCTGAAGCGGCGCCGAGAGCTCGAGTCGGCCCGAATCGCCGAGCTCCCAAGACCTCCTCAGCGAAAGAGCGGAAGGAGGAGGCGGAGGACGGACGAGGGAGGAGAAGGAGAGGAGGAGGAGGAGGAGGAGGAGGAGGAGGAGGAGGAGTCCGGAGGAGGAGGAGGAGGACCAGAGGAGGAGGAGGGAGGAGGAGGCGGAGGAGGAGGAGGAGGAGGAGGAGGCAGGAGGAGGAGGAGGAGGAGAGGAGGAGGAGGAGGAGGATGAGGAG